TATTAGATGTTTTACTCCGGTACAAAGCCGTTTTAGGAAATGATTAACCACTCATTGCGGACATCGAAAGGCCTTTCTGCTGATGTGTGTGCTTGAATCCTTCGGTATTTGCGTCTTCACTTTGTGCTCTTGCTTGGAAGTGCACATTTATGCAAGTCGGAATGGCAGGTGGAATCGATTATGCTCGATTGTTTCGGACGATGAACGCCTTATGCGTCAGCCAGGTTCTTTCAGCATTTCTAGAATTTTGCTCAATCTTAAGTGTTTGTGAATACTTATCGCGATACCTGCTGGTTTTTGAACCGCCTTGCGTGAAAAAAAAACATTCTGAGTCGTAGCATATGTGTATTACTGCAGATGGCGAATAATCGTGAACGGTTTTCTTGATTTGATGGAACACTCGGAAGCATTTACGCCCTACTTTGTATACTTTTTCTTAATTATAATTGCTGCGCTACTGCTGAACCTAGGGATTTTGATAGTTTACTGAATTGCTTTTTTAAGCGACTTGAGCAACTCAATGTGAAACGACTTTTGTATCCTTGCTCGCAACTTCCACGCTTAATTGATCAAGTCGTTTAACACACAACCAATAGAGGAATTTCTTTTGACAGTCCCGCTGGTCATAAAACCAGCTTCTGTCCTTTGTAATATCGGCCATTACTTCCTGCATGAGTATTTATCGAAGTCTGTTTTATTGGCTCTCGTAAAAATACAGTAATGCAAATTAAAACAAATCAATTCGCAGAAAGTTCTACATGGTTGTTTCCCGCAGTATGCTATCCATTATTTTCTCCCTTTTTACATGGTACGTGCACTGCTGCTGTTGCTAATTTATAAATCCACTTTGTGCTTTCAGTGGCGAGTAGCGCCAACCCGTGTGAGCTGCCTTTTGAGACCGGGCCTTGTCGCGCCTTTGTGCGCCGTTTTGGATTTAATCCACGGACAGGTCGTTGTGAAGCCTTCACTTATGGTGGCTGTCGTGGCAACGAGAACAAATTTGAGACAGAGGAGGAGTGTACGGCGCGGTGCCGAGTAACACCATTAGGTGCGAATTTTTAGACTTTCAAAATATTTTACGTGGTTTGAATATATTCCGCGCAATTTTAGGCTGTGTCCTTAGTAGTGGCGATCGTCAAAGAAGAGTTTTCCAATCAAGTTTCCTTAAGATCATTCTGCCAAAATTTTTGGTGTTCTCTTTTAGCTTTCTTCGAATACTGAAGGCTGAGTCTAACAGACTGTAAATTTTGAAGCAATCAACATTCTTAAAATATTCCCTTTTTGTCTACTATTTAAAAACTAAATCGTAGCGTAAGAATCTTGATTGTAAGGGTATGGAGTACTATGGAATACGTTTGTTGGCGTTCAGCCATGTTCACACTGTTCTAACTTCGCAGCAATTTGTTTAAAATGCTACAGAAATTTCGGCTTGATCCCTGTTTAGGACTCATGTGGAGTCTTTCTTTGTGCTTCGAATACATGGGCTTGATCGAGGTTTTACTTACTGCTACATAACAGCTCGCATCCGCAACTTGAAAAAATAAATATTTGTACTTTTGAAGTTTACTGTCTAGTGAGGCATGGCGCTACGTATGTCCTGCTTGCAGAAACGGCATACTGAAGTCTCTTCTAATAATAATAATAATAAGATATGTTGAATGACGTAGTCAAAAAGCCTATTAGGGATACCTTAGAAATGTTGCCAGGTCTCACTGCAAGCCTGCTCCTTCGACCGACGCAAAAGTAAAGATGGCTTATGTCCCAATTTTTTTAATTCTGGAAAGACGCATAGACCGGCAAAAAAGCATATGGGCAAAGCTATTTGGCTAAAATATGTATGTCAGTCCCACTCATCCCAAAGCTGCTCTCCACTATACAACCTGTAGATGTCGATCGGTGATTCTCTCCGTACTTATAAAGTAAATTAAGTTATAGTTTTACAACTAAGTATAAGTAACCAACGTATTACCGGCAAACGTTAGGACTGCCGGATACGCGTTTTTCAAGCTCATTAGCTTTCGTCAGCTGCAGTTACCCGAATACAGTATAGTCACAGACACTGCCGCTACATTGGAGTTTCGAACCCGCGACGTATTACGAGGCTTGCAATTTATTTCGCAGGTCAGGAGCTGTGAAGCCCCTTGCAACGCAGTTGCTACACTGTGTTAAATTTTTTTAGTTTCAAAATCGATCAATCATGCCATTTTAGCGTTTTTTCCTTCAATTCGATTGGTCCTTTGCTCGGATGGGAAATCAGCATTAACAAAATATGCTATTATATGCAAGAGACACGTTCAAGTTCATTACTGGAGTTTAGATATCTATGGATAAGTGAAGTAAGTTGCATTCCG